ACATAGGAACATTCTTTAGGTCAACAGGTAAGAAGTAGTTGTAGACGGAATCTAGAAATCATTCAATGCTTTCATACGATTGTTGTTGTGGTAGAATGTAATCATTTCACCTGGAGCATTTGTGAATAAGTCCTTCGTGGCTGGATAGTTAGCGGTTACATTTACTTGATAGAGGGCGAATTCGCCGGCGGCGTTGAGGTGCTTGTCCGTAGTGAACGCAAAACGAACGCTCCATCCTGGGTACTGAAAATATTGAGACGTTACAGAGTGATGCCAACACAGCAGTGAGTGCGATGTTTTCCAGTCAACTTCGAGGCGGGAGAAGAACTATTTCTGAGTTCCATGGGACGTAAGAAGACATCATTACTCTCAAACAAGACTTTGGAGAAAAAATAGCAGTACCTGCGTATCATGCTTGAAGCTGTAGCAGCTTAAAATCTACCTATCTGCTCTGAATCACTGTGATTTTTTTGCTGAGTGCAATTTCAATAAGTGCTTCGGGGAGGTTGAGGATCAAACTCAAGTAAATTGTGGAAATCTGAGACATTGCAAGCAGGTATAGCTATGATCTTAGCAAACGGCAGGGAATATGAAACCTCGTGAGTTGTACTGCGGTCGGAACAGTCCTTCCCGTCAATTTTTGCGGTCTCAGGATACCACGATTAACATCAAGGCCGTTTTGTCAGGCTCCAATCGAAGCTCCGTCACGCGCCTTATCGTTTATCGTTTGCAGGCATCATGGCTGTACATTATTGAGAGGGGGAAAACGCACTGTCAGGTAGTTCCTTCTGAGAAAGAGGGTGTCTGTTCTCTCCTCCCACAAGCCACCTACGAACTTTATCAAGTTCTCGCGAAATTTTTTCGCGAGCGGTGGAATATACATCTCCGATAACCTAACCAGGTACTACAAAATCACAATAAAATCATATTATTAATTTTGCTGCGTCACCAATTATCTACATGGGGTGTAGAACCATGTAGATAATTGGTGACGTCTCGTGAAGCGGGGAATCAACAATCAGGAAAATTCTCCGTGTGCAGCCACTCCCCCGATAACCAAAATACATACTCGCACAATGATGACGTGCCTCAATTCTAAGACATAGCTAAGTGGTAATAATATAAAGGGTTTTTCAGCCTCAAGGTTCATTATATTAAGTGGAGCTGGGCTAATTATTGTGTCTACCTCGTTGGCGCGCCACTATTTTTCGCGGTCATGGAAAGGAGGGACCAAGTGCAAATCAGGCGCCTTCATATACTACTCCATACATACGTATCAAATGGATTCTTAACTGACATGATCAAGATTAATGTGAAGAATCTGACTCAGAATCGGCTGGTTTTGCACCGATAGTACCTTTCCACAGGTACTTTGGTCTTCATCAACAGTTGACGTAGGCAATACGTGTACGACTGTATCAACCTGAAAACAATTATGTATCAGCACGGTCACCGGAAATTATTAGGAAGATAAATAAGGCTGACAAATGAATAAGCAAATACACTGCGAAGCATAATCATAGTTCCACCCATGAATCTCACAAAATCCTGTCTTACACGAAGTTTTCCAAAATGCCCCCATACAAAAATGTGGTAATTACCAATACCAATTCGCATGCCAACAACAAACACTAACTTGAAAAAACATTTTTTTTCGTCAATTTTCGGTCGTTCTGATAAGCAGCAAAATGGTGATGCCACCGTCCAAAAACAAGTGCACAACAAAATGAATAAATTTTGGTCCAGCAATCTATTGGAACTCTATTTCTCCAATTAAGTTGGAAAAATACGGTTGCCCGTGTTCGATAAGAGATTTTAATAGGCTTTCGACCGACTGCCCAAATGCCCCTCACATCCTCGATTGGGTTTTTGTCGGGACTACATGCTGGCCAGGGCAAAGAGCGGTTTGGTGACAACTGAATCACGAGTTTCGACTGTCATGAACTGGTGCATTATCCTGCATGAAAACGGGACTTTCTTGCTGATTTCTACGCCAGAAAGCAAGGAGACGTCGTCGCATGACTTTTAGATGACGGAAGAAATCATTTTTTTTCATACGGAGCGCAGTTTCAGACGTTCCATTCATGCGATGGCAGCCCAGACCAGACCACATCCACTGAAGTTCCGCCCGGAAAAATGAAACTTGTCTTCCTCAGGTCGTGCCAGCGGAATCGGTTTTCGTCGGAGCCGTCGCAGTTGAATTTTTTCTCATCAGAAAACACGACCGCGAGAAAAAAAACTGAAAAAACACTACAGTAGGGCACCGCAGCCAAAAGCCAACCTCACTCCATTGGGTTCGGCAACATCTTCGAGCAAAGCCAATTAGGTTTTCGCGATGGTTTTTCGTTAGAAACAGTACGTAACTCATATTCCTCCTATGGAACTCGGGAGTTTTCCAAGACACGCCGAACAATAATCCTTTCGAGAAACCTTAACCTGCGAAGATGATATTAATTTCCCGACACGACGCTGCAGATGTGGAATGCTTTTCTTAAAAAATGCGGCGGTTGTTTCGTTGGCTGCGCAGCAAAGGAAGATGTCCTTCCTGAACTCCGCATATCCTGTTAGCGCTCATTTTGGCAAAAATTGATTGATTAGCATGATGAGTGCGGGCCCGCAATCCCGGCTATTTGACGATCACCAAGTTTTTTAGTCTTTTTTAAGTCTTCTTTCATAATCTGTCCCTTTTTTCGAGGTCCATTAATGAAGTTCCAACTTGCCGTGAAGTTCCACTTGCCATAGCCTAGAAGAGGCGAGAAGTCATAATGATGAGAAGTTTCACCGAACAAAAATGAGATGCAGCCGGAAAATATGCGGTGGAACTATATTTTTGCTGCGTTGTCAGAACGACCATTTTTGAAAAAATTGACGAAAAAAATTGTTTTTTCAAGCTAGAGTTTGGTGTTGGCATGGTATTGGTAATTACCACATTTTCTGTATGGGGGCATAAATGTCGTGTAAGACGGGATTTTGTGAGATTCATGGGTGGAACTATGATTGTGCTTCGCAGTGTAAGTATGTAGTTCGAATGGCAATGTTAAAGGCACATGGCACGATAATTTGGTATTCGGTCTGAAATGCTAGCAGGGTGCTATATAGTGGGAAAATGGCGAAAAAACGAAGTGAAACGGTCAAAAACCTGCGAAGAAAACCTTCGTTAATGATTCGAAAAGCAATTTTCGAAGGCATCTTGCCAATAACCGCTACGGTAGGTACGGCTGCACATATGTACTCATATATCCATGTAGCACCGCGGCCGCTTCATATTTTACTTCGCAAATGAAGCAATACGAGCATCAGGTACGGTCGTCCATTTGTGGGCGGGCGGGCGCGGTGGGCGTCCGGGTCGGTATGTTGCAGCTTGATAGGGCCTTACATACCTTCCTTGGAAAAGGCGCTACGCAGCGCCTGCTCAGGGGCGCGAAATTCGTCCTGCCAGGCGTATTAATCCTATTCGTCCTAAGAACTTATCTTGCCTACTGCCTTGAACTAGTTTCCGCATTTATGACTAACACTATTCTAGCGAAGCAATAACCTCGGAGGGGCATTTCAAGGAATCCCCAATGCAAGAATAGAATTATCGTCGTGGACCTGAGCATTTCTACAAAGCGAGCCTAAACCGGAAAAAGCTCTGGGAAAAGATAAAGCCATTCGGAAGACATCAATTCGAGTTTTGTACGGGGAGTACATTAAATGCTTCCTCCAAGGTGATTAGTTCCGCAATAATTACTAGGAAATATATGGAGGAATACAAAAAATGATTGATGTTCGAAACCTCTGTTCCTGTGCTGTCCGTGTATGTGAGGTAGAGATCAATCTGGGCATTGAGAACAATGCATGGGTAGGGAGGAAATCGAGCCGGAAACTGAAAAAGTAAAATATGATAAATTCCAGGTTCGAGCAGGTCCACTACTTACTCGGTTCCCTATTTTTGCATGCAATACAAAATGGTAGAAGCACTTCAGTATATTTTAACGCGCACCCCTACAAGTTAGGAACAAGCAGGGCGAAGTCTCCTCCTTGACCATTCCCTTTTTGGGATGTGGCACGCATTCTTCTTCCAGTCAGAATCGTAGTGGCTCATTGAATGCGAAGTAGCCTATACAATGAATTGCGGGGCTGCCGTTGTAGAAGTCAATGTTCTTATCCTCCCAGACGATTCTGGTATCAATCTACTGTCCCTGAAGGTGGAAGACCAGGATGACCTCGGAAGGAAGCTGGTCTTGACGACCGATCCGTGAGAAGGTGGATAACGGACCTCAAGTACCTCTGCACTCCGCCTCCCCATGAATACAGGAACAATTCGAGTGCTTGTCTTTCCAGAGTGTGATACCAATAAGTTTTCAAAATACTCCCAAAAATAAGAAGTTTGTCTGGAAAGGTAATTTTACACATAAATGGGATGCCTTTTGGCACTGGGGGCTTCTGAACGGGTATAGATT